CCAGCTCCAAACCTTCAACCAGCTGGTCACCATACCTACAATATATCAGACATAACAGTGGCCTAAAAAAACAACTGCTATATAGTCCAGAGGACAAGATGTGGCTGAATATTCACTACACACTTTCGGGGGCATTTCAGGACAAAGCCAAGGAGTTTGGCTCTTTCCGTGAGCGCCGCGTTACCACAGGGCGAGCAGCGGCGCCCACCGGGGCTTTCATCTGACGTAGCTCACACTGCAGCCCGTTTCATAACGGAACACTCTGCAGAATTTAAAGCCAGTGATTATCCAAATTCCTACTACCACGTGTCAGTCTCCTAAGGATTCATAGGCTTTAGGTGTCATGTAATAGTGCTAGAGAATCGCAAGAAGTAGGCCATATATCCTAACTGATATGGTTTCCCAATCACATAGCAAAGATGGAAGAAGAACATAAAGGCTTTTTTGTTTGTTTTTGTTAAAGATAAAAACTTAAAGATAAAGATAAAACCTTATAAAGATAAAACCTTATTAATTTCAAGTGTGTGGGCCGAATTTGTATTTTTACCTGTTATTATTATGTATGCATGATGCACACATTTTGTCTTTGCAAATCTAAGTGTCTGATTTCCAAAGAGCTGCCACAGAGCAGGGCATTGCACAAGTATTACATACACATTTTCATTATGTACACACCTATTCAGCTTGCTAATGAGATAACTGTTATTTTAAAGCATCTTTCAAAGGGTTATAATAGAAGAACTGAGTAAACATCCCAGTGACAGCCATCGTAGCCTTGATAGTTGAGGCCCTTCCGCTTCTTTTTGCATACTGAAGGGGCACGTGGCACAGCAATGATGAAAAGTCATAGCTGGGATCAGCTAGAACACTGCAGGTCAAGCACAGCATCCAAGGCAGGGCAGAGGCAAGTGCCAGACTGCACCATAACATAAGCACAGTCATCCAGGACCTCACCTTTATATGGATAACCGTTCAGGAATCTTTACAGAGCTGACAGGGTAACCCTGAAGGCCAATCTGGTGGCAAGACATCAGAGGAATATAAAATCATAGCAACAGCCATGTTTCTAAAGACAATTTTATGCTGCAGACTTCTCATTACATCACTGCTTCCTGCTATTTAACCAAATAGCTATTTAACCAAGCTGCTATACAACAAATAACAAGCAATTATGAAAATAGGACAACTTAACAATTTGTATAACATCTCCAACTTTCTCAATCTTCAGTTGTAGCAAACATTCATGTATGGTAAGCTTTAAAACTTACCAAATTAAGTTATTTCTCAGTTCACAACACCTAAGTTGAGCCATTTAGAAGTCAGTTCATTACCTGGACAGCAATGGCACTGCAGAAGTGGTGGGGGAACCTATCCTAAGACAGGCAAAATAAATTGCATGCTGGAAATGCCTGTGTCTCTGGTCTCCCTACAGCGGGGGAGAGAAAACTACCAGTTTATATTAAAAACAAACCTTAGGCAGCTAAACTTAACTGAGAGGAACCTCTCTAAATAGCTATTGCAGATGAATATGAAAAGCAGTGTTTTTGTAGATAATAAAAATCTAAAGCAAACTGTTCATAAAACTATGTCACATATAATAAAAGATATAATCAACAATACTCTATAGCCCAACTGGAACGTAAACAGCATAGGCTCTATCTCCACGATTCAGCTTGTTTCCAGACAGCACCCATTTTTTACAAGACAGAGCACTACACTCCATCATTTGCAACCTATCTAGAAACACGATACTGATAACACCGTGTGTTTTGTCTTCCGAGCACTTTTCAAAACCTCATGATGCAAATAAGGTATACAAAATTCTGCAAATACCCATTCTATAATTATCTCTTTCTTAATAAAAGAAGTATTTATTATTATCTGAAAAAGTATGCTTGTATCTGAGGTGTGCTGAGAGACTCTACATTTAATTTGGTCAAATGAATAATACTGTAATTACATTTGTATCAGATTAATCTTTATTAAAATTTTTTAAAATGAATTACTATATCTAGGGTTTTTTGCACTTCATCAAATTTAGGCATAAAAAATGCAACTTGCAGGAAAATACAAATCTATACATTAAGTATTGTAATTAATTTTTTTTAAAAAAAGAAACACTTGCATCACAAAAAAACCCAAAAACTACTGTAAATCATTTTCATGTAGTAGAATAATGCATTCTGGTTACGAGAAGGTCTGAAAGTTGCTCTTATTCAGATCCCAGGATTCACAACTACTGCTTCTCAGGTGAAACGAGAGCAAAATAACAGCTTGCACTATCAGATTCTTACAAGGAGTTACAGAGCACATCATACAAGCAAAAAATTACAGCTGCTGTGAAAAAGCTTCATTCAGACGCTCAGTGAAACTGGCAAGAAAGAGCACGTTTGCTCCACATATTAAACGTGCCATTTGCTTCTGAGTGCAAATGCAACGCAGTTGGCTTGCACTATCAGATTCTTACAAGGAGTTACAGAGCACATCATACAAGCAAAAAATTACAGCTGCTGTGAAAAAGCTTCATTCAGACGCTCAGTGAAACTGGCAAGAAAGAGCACGTTTGCTCCACATATTAAACGTGCCATTTGCTTCTGAGTGCAAATGCAACGCAGTTGGTATTGATATCCCAAGACACAACGAGCCGTTTGCTACTGCTGCAGACAGGGTCAGACCCTGCCCTCCTCCACAACTGCAGGCAGCTCATAAACCCGTGCCAAGAGCAGATCCGGGAGCTGCTCCGCGCACAAGCCCGTGTCCCAGGCAGCTCGGACACGTTTCCCATTTCTTAGTTCCCAGGACAAGTGGATCAGCTTTTTGGCTCAGCTATAACTGGAGCATTTATATTTGCAGCCTGTACATAAAATAAGGGCCGCGAGCACCAGGGAAGGGGAAAAGCTGTTCATGGTGAGAGCAGGAGGGGAAGCTCACGGACGCGTGGCCATGGACCTGGCTGCTCACCCCGGAGCCTCCGCTCCTCACTACAGCTCAGCCCTCATCAGGGCACTGGGATAAAAACACCAGGCAACGATTCACTACCTTGCACCGGTGAATAAACCCCGACAGAAACAGAAGCCAGGGGAAAGGAAACAGGGATAAGCGCAATTTTAAAAGATGACCTGTAGGAGGATACTAGAATAGATAAGGAAGGAAGCAGAGCCAAAAAGAGAATAATCTGCTCTCATCTGCATTAAAAGAAAATGAGAGGGAAAGGACAGGTAGGCCAGACAAACACATAATATCAGTAAGCCCCACACTGAAAGCAGATGTTTCAGCTCTTCAGCATGGGGCAGCTCTGCAGCACAGCCATGATTTAGGTAAGGGAAAATCCCCTAGAAATTCAACAGGCTAGGTAGGATTCAGTTCCAAAGGGTGAGGGAGCAAGGAAAGTTAAAAAGCAGGAAACATTAAGAGCAGTAACATGAATGCACAGCAATGATAGAACATGACAGGGAAGGAATGAAAAATAAATAATATAAGCAAAGAACAAAATTTTCTACAATAAGAGGGGAGTAACAAACTGAAAATATTTTCATCACATTAAAACTATAACAGAAAGAGAAAAGTGCTTCTGTCCTTACTTATCCCAAAAATGTATTTACTTATCTTTTCCAATGTATAGGCATATTTATACCTAATTTTTATTGCTTCAATCTAAGCACTATAAATAAAGCCACAGCAGAGACTGGTGCATGGTAGCAAACACCAGCTTCTGAACGACAGACAGTACAAACACAGGGATTCTGGATGAAAAAATAACATTTATTTCCTGGGATAATTTAAATATATCTATTATTGCATATGAAAATTATGTGGCTACTATGCATGCCAATATACGCTTCTTGCTTCCTATAGCTAAATAATCACCATGCATTTTTCCTGGCTGCCAGTGAGGAATGGCCTCCAATAAGAGCAATAAATATTAGCAATGTTAACAATTAAGCAGCTCTAAATTCTTAGCCATTTATCAGTTATAAAAACAATCATGGCAAGGTAGATACTTGACCTCTCTCTACCTGAGACAAAGCTTAGTTCTCAAAACTGACAGGTTTACACACTGTCATCTTGAGGACAAGAATCATGGGTCATTGTGACATTTAAAAAAAACATTTTCTTATTTCTGTTATCAACCTAACTCAGTGAATTAGTGTAACATTCCCAATTTCTACCCTGAAACACAAAATCTAAGGTAGTATGCAAAGGTAGAGAATTAATATTTCACTGTCTTTCAGTCAAGCCAGTGACTTATACTCCACCAGATCCAAGCAAATCAATTCAATTTAACTTACTGAAGAGGGTGAAATATTGCATAATTAAAAGTGACATCAGTTAAGTAAATAAAATAATGCAATGGATTTATATCCAGAATAGAATAAAGTCTTCTTTATCTTTCTGCCCTCAAAATTCCAGGATCATATTTTTTTAATACTGTATAGATGTTCAGAAGAAAAAACTAAATAAATACTCTCTTGGAGATAACAGCTGCTAGGCCCTCTGTTCAATATCTTTTTTAATAACACTAAAAAGCACTGACTGCTGCAATTTATTTAATAATATACGTGCTATTCATGTTATAGGACATCACAAGAAACACAGAAAGGGAGGAAGACTTGTAATTTTACCCAATATACGTTGTCCCACAAACCTAAATCTTCAAATTATTATGGAATAAAAGCCTGTCTTTAATTAAACTCAGACACTTACATCTTGTTAAAATGTTTGCGAGAGAGGCTTTTAAGGAGCACATCAGCAGGATGTTGAGAATGCAACATTGGTACTTAAAAACACAATGATCAAAAACACCATTAAAAAAACACCTACCTATATCATATGCAAGAAAGTCAGCAGAAAAACACTTTGCACCATTACTGAGGGAAGTATCATTATGAGTGTTTCCACCAAAAATGAGCATAGCACCGTTGATTAGGACAGCTGAATGAAGATATCTTGCAAAACCACTCTCTCTCAAAATAGTCCTGCAAAACACAGGAGTCAATCGCTACATACCAACCTAGGAAAAGTCATAAACACCTGAGGAATTTAACAGAAGGAAACAAGACAAGGAAAACACTGAATTAAAACAAGTATTCATTAAGTACGATAAGATATATTTTGACTGTTTCTCAAATTATTTATTTCTTCACTTTTTAGAATGTCTAATATAAATATAAAGTTTACATTCTTCATAAGAAATTAAATGTATATAAATGTTAAGGAAAATTACACAATATGAAATAACTTGTACTTTTCTGCAAGCCAAGTAAGGAGGGACCAGATTTGTCCGGTTTAAAGAACACAAAAACAAAATACCTGAAGACACAGTGTCCTGTTTTTTTTTTTTTTTTTTTTTTTAAGAAGGCTATAAGAATGCTTAGCCTGACCAAAGTTTTGAAAAGGAGAAAGATTTTTCACTTGGACACCCAGAAAAGAAATGCAGGCATCAATCTAGTTACGATGGAAACATCTGCAGTGCTTCATTGTCAGGTGGCCAGATTCAAGCACCCAGAATTTCACTTCAGAGAACAACCCCCCAGTTACATCACAGCATCCTTCATCTTGGATCATTCTTCGTTCGTGTTGGCTTGTGTGGTCTGTTTGCAACTGGGGAATGACCTGGGCCCAACAGCAGCCAAGGGTTTGTACTCCCTCTAACACCAAACTGATACGGAGCTAGCAAAAAGAATGAGACAGGAACTAGATTTCGTCACATCTTACCACACACATCTTACCAAGGGAGAGAGTAGCCTTTTGGATTTTTTCTGACTTGAATCATTTAGCTAAGACAACTGCAGAGAGCTCTGCGAAGGGCCGCTCCGGAGCCCAGGGAGACCATGGCTCACACCGGCCGGTTACCGGTCACTTAGGCCCCTCTCATGAAACAGGGCTCCAGGCCGGGCTTGGGCCTCCTCCTGCGCCATGTGCACTGCTTACCTGCACCGACTGCTTGGTCAGCCCCTATAACGAGCAGCTATTCTAACAGCTGTTCTCAGCTAGCAACAGAGGAAAGTTGTTGTTGCAAATGAAGAGTGACAATATACACACAAAAAGAGATCTTGTCCTTGAAAGTGCTGATACTCCTTTCTTCCTAAACTGTTTGCTTACCAGTTTTCTTCTAGTTTACAGCAAGTGCTCTATCCTGACTACCCCACCCTGCAGCTCTCTGCAAAGGGTTCTCCTGCTCACTAAAAGCCTAAAATGCCATACAAAGATCATCATAGTGAAGAAACCTTGTTATCGTAACTCCTTCTGTGCAAGGGAGTGTATTCACCTCAGCCAGTTCATTACCTGGAATTAGGACTACTACTGTCAGAATATTCTTGAAATGAAGACAAAATACAAGTTCTCTACATGAATCAGCATGCCACACTAATATAAGCAGATATATACAGTCACTATTAGTTATCAAATGAAAAATAATAAAAATTATCTAATTTATTAAGCATTGTATTGAACTGTCCTTCAAAAGATGCAATATCATTTTATTCCCAGAGTAGAAATATGCTAAAAGCTATTGGTAGGTAAAATAACAGAGCATCATGATTCCAGCAATTTAAAAATAGATAAAAAGGAATGAAAAAAAATGTTCTACACATGATGTGAACTGCCATGAGCCTGTAGCATTCAAACTAAAGACTCTCAGTGAAATCAAAATCACATATTTCCAACAATCTGATCTGAGAGCAAGTCTTGGGTATGTAAAGTTAGGTCATCAGTGCTCAAGGCAAGTATTAAATTGCAAAAAAATAAAGTGTTCTGAGAGATGTATCTCAGTCTCAGAACATCTCTAAGGCAAGAAAAATTAAGAGTCATTTTCTATATATAACACTTGACATTCACAAATTACAGTAAACTTGAGGAACACAGAACTGACAAATATTTACGTATTATTTATATACATTATATATTATATGAATAACAAAGGATCCCTACACCAAAAGCAAAAGCATTTGTTTTTTCTTTTTTCATACTGTTTTGTGAAAAATATCTTTCCAGAGTTCTAAGATTTTAGGGCTTATTTAAATCCTACTATGTATGTAAGTGCAATCAGCAATATATTCACAGCATGTGGAAACACTTATATTTTGTAATGGTTATCTGTGGATAGGAAAATCTTTCCTTAATTTTTACAACCTGCAACAAGCTCCCTCCTCCCAGTCCTTCAGTGGGCAGCTCCATTAATCGCTGGCTTGTGCCCAGTCTCTCTCAGTTCTGTTGTGTTGCAGAATACATGTGTTCTGCAACCTGTAGAGAGTATGGAGCTGTCTGTGTGACTTCACTGGAACTCTTTCCTTACATTTTCTTCCCCTGTGACAAATACTTTTCCTTTTTCGCTCCTTCATTTAGTTTCCTACATTGCAAACTCTACTTACCATATCCGAGTATTAACTTCGTATCTGTAAAGATCATCCACCAACCCATACTTATTGCCAGGCAGTGCTTTGTATCCACCATGGACATAGACAGATTTTGTCAGTTCATCATAGACACTAGTATGACCATATCCACCTTGCACAATTGCTCCTTTGGTTTCGGGCACAAGCCAAGAATTAGACCCTGGAACAGATGTATAAAAGACAGATTTAGAGTCTTAATATTGCTAAGACACAATACTAGAAGTATATGCAAAGTAGGTCGATATTGCTGTAATCCTAAATACGCCAATAACAAGGGATTATGTTTAAAGCATAATTTTATGACAACGTATCAAAATATCTGCAACAGGATAATGCTACAAGTTTGCTATCTGCTATTTTAATTAAATGGAACGTTACCAAAGACCTACTGGTGTCAGACAGTATGTCAAACTCCTCCAAAATTCAACACACACCCCAGAACACCCCCAAAATATTTTGGTAAATAGAAAATGAACAGTTAGGATGATTTTCATTCCACCTTAACTCTGCCCCTCTTGAGGGACAGTCACTGTGCACAACTGTGACTGAACCATTTGCAGTAGCAAGGCAGAAACAGAACTGCTACAAGCTCTGATCTCACCAAAACATTTAACTTCAGAGAGTTGAAAATATACACTGGAGACAGACATTTTGCTGGTAAACTATTAAAACTATTAAACTAAAACCATTTTCCAAAGACTGTTCACTGCATTTGTAACTGCAAATACACTAGTTGCTGAAATCGCCACAAGGATAAATCTGACAGGACCTCATTTAGAGCTTATAGTTAAATCCACTTTTTACACCACATTATTAGCAGCATTAATAGCTATAAAGAGACACTAAATACAACTAATCACAATAACTCATATTGAAGAATAAAATGCAGCTAGGTTAAGTGATTTTTCCTTGCTTGTTGACTGCAAATTTCCAGTTTTCTCCCTTCTCTCAGCAGATGACATAATCAGGCACCTAAAGAACTAGAGAGTAAAGAAGCCTGTACCGCAGAAGTCAGTCTATCCAAATTTACAATTTAGGTAAGAGGGTTGGTGAGCAGTCTGTTGATATATCTTACTACCTCGAACCACTCAGGCAATTTCCTGGAGAGGCCAATACAACTTAAGATGATAAAGTCTGCAGTAACAAGCATTTTAAACAAATCCTGGGAGATATTACTGAAGGCATAGCGCTCACACGAAATTGTTGATATATCTTACTACCTCGAACCAGTCAGGCAATTTCCTGGAGAAGCCTAGACAACTTAAGATGATAAAGTCTGATATTACTGAAGGCATAGTGCTCACACGAAAGAAAAGAAGGAGAGAGATGAGCTGGACAAATACCGAACTTAAGCTGGCCTCAGAAATATGCAAAGATTAAAAACAAAGTGTAGAAAAGTAAAAATAAATATGCTTAAATAACAGGAAAATACAGAACAATGTAAATGTACCAAGCAGTTTACATTACGCTTACCTTAGAGCAATTTATCTAACACAAGGCAGCATACAATGTCTTAACTCTCTGGCCTCAAATATAATGTCACTATGGGAAATTAGTAACCATAATAATTGAAGGCGGTTTGTGCACAGATGAAGAAGCAGCAATGAGCAATACCGAAGGGCGTTGGGACTTTCTAAGGATCAGGTACAAGAACAAGTGCATTTTGTAAGCACTTTCAGAAATTTGAGATGTGACAAGAGTATAAACTTAGGCATCATCAATTCATAGAAGCAGCAGGGTAACAGTGCAGAGTGAATCGGATGATCCTGGCTACTGAAAAAATAGTTCAAGATTCAATAACAACTTCTTGATATTGTGCAAGATATTGTGCATAAGTATTAGCACAATGATTATGAATTTCTATAGAACAGAAGCTCACCAGCTGGCAAGGACTAAGAAAAGCAAGTAGGTGCACTACTTCTTTAGAGAAGGTCTCTGAGCTTAAAGCCATTTTCATGGTTGTATTACAGAGGTCATCTTAGTGCATATCAAGTGAGGTGTTCCCAATAATGTAGAGTTATGGTTATTTAGCCAGGCATTGGTGAAATCTCACCTGAAACATCTCACAGGCATTTCTAAGCATCCATGTTCAAGAAAGATGAACTCACTGTGGAAGAGGTGCAGAGGTGAACTATTAGAATGACAGAGGAATAGGCAAGGTTACCTTAATTAAAATCTGAAACGCGAATGGATATAAACTACCCACTTCCAAAAGGAAGTTAAGATTTAGAAGATGCCTACCCACTAAAATTACAAGCCCTGAAAATATCTTCTAGTGATGCTGTTAAACAAATAAACAAACAAAAAATACTTTAAGATCAATCTTCATATATTATTCAAAATAATTCTAAATACGCTGTTCACATTAAAAAAGTGTTAATCTGAATAGCCAGGGTGATCCCTTCTACGCTTTTGGTCATACCAAGTTAATCACATGTAAAGTTGTAACATATTTCCAGCAGCAAAATAAGGGAAATAACAAACAGACTAAACTTTACTTTTTTTTTTTTTTAGTTAATTTCTTTGCATAAAATGAAGAAGGTTAAATCAAGAAGAACAACTTATTTTAGTATTTATCTTTTATCAGTTAAAAGAGAATGAATAAAATAGCTTTTTTGGGATAAATACATAAAAGTATGTAAAGATTTTCTTAATATTTATAAATACAATATCTTCTATAAAAACTTTCTGAAACTCAACTAAAACACTAATATTCTATTCACCTTCAGACTCACATTGAGATTTGTAGAAGCTTTATGAGGTATCGCTAGCCTAAAGGGAAATAAATTTCCCTGGGGAGTAACCCAGAAAAGCTTTATGGTCCAAGTTAGTAAAACAATTCACATAATTCCCATATCAAGATTTATTGGTTACTCAAAAGCCATAACTCTGAGTATAGCAAGAAAGGACATGGGGAAGCTCCTTCGCTCTTGCAACAGCCACCAGATCTTTGGAGCAGAAATGAATTCCCCAGCTTTCACAAGGGGAAACTCTGGCTGTAGATCATGTCTGATTTTTTGCCACTTATTTGCCTTTGTCACAAATTACTTTCTTCACTACTCCGACAACATCAGAGAAATTTTCAGATGATGCACACGTTAGATTAACACGTTTTGTTACAAGACCTGCAATGCACAACACCTATGGGTAAAGACAGGGAGTCCACAAACAAGCCATTTTTAGGTGGTTCTTGACCCAAAGCCTACTGAAACCCAGGTCACAGTACCTAAAGTAGACTTAATCATCAGATTTTCATATATTATAACACGATTAGATCAACAGAAGCGCGTGGTTCAGTATATAAGCGGAAAAATACTTGAAAAATATTCTTCATTATAAGCACCACAGGAGTTAAGCTTCCAGTGAACGTGCAATGTTACAACAGTGTGTGTTTTCAAACAAACAGATAAAAGGGGGACTCCAACTTTTTCTTTTACACAAGGTCAGAAACCCTTCCTGATGACTCTTCCTTTGTAGCTGTGATTCTCGGAGGTTCAGAGCATCATTTCCATTCCCTCCGATGCCCACTGCATTTGGAGGTCGAAGTGTCAAGGAAACCAGCCCTTCAGTTCTAGCCAGTGCATGGAATTCCAGGGTGAAAAATGATCCTGCCCAAGCAAAACTGTAAATAAATGCTGCATCTGGCACAAAATCCAGGAAAATTTGCCACAAAATTCATTTAAACTTGGGAGAAGGGAATACTGGACAGTCCATGAGGTTAAACACGAGGATTCTCAACTGCAAAACTGCTCAGCCACAGCTCATAGAGCACGTCCTGCAAAGCACTGCATGAGCAAATAACGATCACCACATGAGTAGATTCACTCAGATTAATGGGTTTACACTGCAAGACCCTATATTTTATAGGTAATGCAATAATGAAGCATACTTTCTGCTAAAAACTAGATTTCCCACCAGCATAATATTACCTTGGAAAGAAGACAAACAGTTGAGATTAATTTAGACCCACAGAGCAAAATGTTTTTTCTCCTACTTAGAGCTTATAGCCATTGGTTGAAAGGGATTTTCTGTTTGTTTTTTAAATATGCTTAGTTGTAGATAACAGTCCTTTTTACTAATCCTTCTCAAGTATAGCTCTAGCATATTAAGGAAGTTTTAAAATAGGAACAAGTTGCACATTTCTATCATGCCAGTAATAAAATACTCCACAAACAGAAAAAAATTTACATTGCACAGTGAATCATATGCTGCTCCTCATTTTTTTCTTCCCTCTTCACTAGTAATCTAATAAATAATACTGAAGAACAACCTTGGTACTTTCTTCTCCTGACTAATAAAGCAGCACGTGACATTCAACATTTCAATAAACATTAAGATGAACGAGATCTCAGAATATTAGAATAACTTTCCTTTGTTATTCATTTTCTTTGGAGACTTATTAAAACTCAATTTCTAGTCTTTTCTTTCTTTTTGAATCTTTCAGAGATTAAAGATTTTTAATGATCATTTATTCTTTGCCTTAGCCTTAAAATGTTGCAGAGAAACATTTTTTTTCTGAGAAGATTGAATTTTAAGAGTGGTTGAAATTTGTCAACGTGGACAAAAAGTATTGTGACTCTCTTCTTCCTATTTTCCCATTCTCTTTTTTCTCCTTGTTTTGCACTGTTACAAACTTGAACGTTGTCATCAAAGGTAAGTTGCCAAGAAAGAAGTACAAGAACCTTGAGTACAAGGTTTGAATGGATTTCCCTTCCCCAAAAAGCTACATAAATATATGGTTTCTATACATATGCAGTAACATATCCATACAGAAAGAAATAAAATGAAACACTTCAAAATGTACACTGTAACATAAAACTACTACCACAAATTTTATATGCATGTATTCTGTGATTCTTTAAATAACTGTTAGAAAGCTGGGTCAACTCTAAGCAAAATAAAATGAAAAAAGGCAAGAGAAGATTAGCATTTGAATTAATGGGCATATTAATATTCTTAAAGATTCACCACCAGGTGTATTTTCTTTTTTTTTTTCCTACAAAAACAAGATCTTGGAATTAGCATTAGGAGATAAAGCACTTTTGTTTGTACTTTCTTGTATTTTATCTGAATGTGAAAAGGTTATTTAATTCAAAAAAACTAAAATAATCCATAGAAAAACTTGCCAGTTTACAGGAGGAATCTCATAGTTGTAGGAAATTATTTATGAAAATTGACATTAATTATACTTCTTTGCTACTAATAGTAGCAATCATTTGCTCTAGAGAAAATCAGATAAATAACAACAAATAGAAGTTATTATGTTTTGAAAATCAGAATGAAAAGTATTACAGCAATAGTACTTAATGCCTTAAAATAGCCAGATTCTTGTGGTAGCTCGTGTGCATTACGTTCTATTTTATTTTTCTTTTTGATCTATTTAATATTTGCTACTCCATTCTACTCTGTGAAAAAAATGGGCAAGTTTTATGATAACCAAAATCGCTGTGTGGAATTTCTGGTTTCAGCCTTTGCATCCTGTAGAATCCCACACCCGTAAGCGTGATAATGCATATCCAAAACAAGAGGACCTCAAACACGCCTGAAACACTCCTGATTAACAAGAAAGGTGTTCTGCAAAATTTACAGGTAAACAAAAAAGATGAGAGTGTATTTATTCAGTCAAAAACATATCCAAAACCAACAGAAGTGTCCTTCAGTTTTTAATAAAATTTGAAAGACTTACTGATATAGTATTCTTGCACAATGCTTGTGTAACCATATATGGCAGAGTATCCAAAAATGATGATCATAACCACATCTCTGCTATCCAGCTCCACGATGTGTGCTGAATGACCCTCCACAGCATATTGCTGCCCATGTACAAGTACTGCAGGAGTTCTGCTACTCCAGGTTTGACTGGGTATGTTGAAAATCCACAACTCATCAGTAACGTTGCCATTATTTGTTTCAACTTTGCCTCCATACATGTAGATGTCTTCCTGCAAAAATTGGGAGAGGGGAGAGAAAGCATTAATGGATTAGAAAAACAGATAACATTTGAACTGCATAAATCCGCACTGTGTATTTCATAACATAAGATATAAATCTTCACATTTAATTGGCACTATATTAATCAGACTTAATCCCAGACAGTGATATTTAAACTAAAGCAATGGTGATGATAAAAAGACTATTTTGCAGAAAAATAAATCCAAATACGAAAGTGACATTAAAATGAGTCTCAGCTGGATTACCACAGGCAGAAAAACTTTCATTACCTGGCTCTTTTAATTCATAATACAGATTTCTATTAAAAAATGATTTAAAATATTTTAAACTGTTTATATGTTACTTTCCATACAATAAGTCTTGTCTGTGGGGATTCTGTGAGTATGCCAAAGATCACACACTCTATTAAGAGCAACGTAACTTAAGTGCTGATAAAACCTCTAAACTAGTGCCTAAAGAAAGGGGATGATATGTACAGCATCCTCTTAGGTGCATTTGCTAACATCAAATTGCATAGGGCAATACCTTGAGCTCTTTTAAGAGGAAGCAAAACGGATTTTGCAGTCTCCATGAACCACACATCTCAATCAGCAATCCTATCTGTTTTGTTAAGTAATGAATGATCTACTTAAATATTGAAAGCTGACTTTACCAGTTGAGCTTAAACTCCCCCCAGAGGGATAAATCAGGCCATACAAAGGAACAGAATTACAGAATGAATTCAAATTTGTCAGCATCACAGATTGGCACATTGTTCCAGGAATGCATCAGAACAGAGCAGGAAGGCTTATTTTGAAAGACGCTCTCAATTTTTAGTAAGCGTTAATTAGAAAGGAGGAGGAAACTGGTTTTATTTTTGTTTGCTTTGAAAAGAAAATGCAATTCCGTTAGATGCTGCCATCTTTCATTAGCTCTCACTAATAAAGGCAAAAAAAATTGCCAGTTTCAAATTCTTCTTGCTCCAAAGTTGCCTTGGGAATAGTGCCAACGGGAGTAGAACCAGAATGCTGACAAAGGAAGAATAACCAGAGCGCAACTTCATTTTTCAGAGCGCAAGTTTTTGCTTCAGTGGAGAAGCTAAAATTTGATCTGGAGATTACTAAAGTATCAGCTTCTGACCTTACAGGATTCAGTAACATCAAGATAGATACGTATTTCAGGTGATGAGAGAAAGGTTAGTATCCTAAATATGAGCATCTCACTCCTTTTTAAGGCAAAGCATTTATTGTGTCTCAACATTTGACCCTTTTCCTGCTAGGATAATTCATCATGAAATGAATCAGAGTTAACCAGTGACCCTGCCTCCTTCCTTCGCCTAATCTATTAAACTATATAATATTTTGATTATTTAATTATTTAACTAATATATTATCATATTGCAACTATTATTAAACTACTAAAAGGCTATTAATCCCCTATCTTTTTCTGTCCAGTATTACTAGATATTTAGGTAACGTGGTGCTACAATTAAATTGTCCAGCAATAGGACCAATCTCAGCAATAACACGGCTCTGTCAGCACTGATGCATTGGCTGGTGTTGTCTACAACCCCTGTATAAAGATACACTTTGTACAGTAGCTTTTACAATAGTTTTACTGTACCATTTTCCTTAATGAGAAACAATGTGGCAACATGAACTATGTTTTAGGCTGTTTGCCAGAGTGTAAACACATAGTCTTAATTTATTTTTTCCTAAAGATTAAAATTCTGTTCACTTTGCAAGTATGGGCTTCCCATGTCTTGGAAATGAGCTACAGAATCTACTACATTGCTACATGCTTGCCTCTTGCATCCAAAACTCCTTTCGGCTGTCCCACAGGCTTCTGACTTGCTGAAAATCGTGTCCCCACAATAATATCATCTAGCTATGGCATAAGGATTTGGATCAACTGGCTTGAAAGTGCTCTACAAAGGTGGCATTTAGAGTGAGAAAAACAAACACAGGGCAAGGCAGCTCCCCAACAGAAAGCTAAAAGACCAAGTAAAGGCACCCACTTATCTGAAAAGTCCCTGTCACCACTCTACACACCAGATGAGAGCAACTCTTCCACATGCCTCGCATTAAATCCCAAAGATCACAAATCATTACGTCTTTTGACCTTGGATGGGCTCTTACCAACTCCACACCTTATTGTTAATATTGATTTAATATTTAACATATACACAGTAATTCAAAATTTCCTTGGAAATTAACGTGCTTTTATTCTTTTAAATCCTGCAGATCTGTCTTTTTTTTCTCCTCCTTAAAAGAAAAACAGTTAGCTCCTCTCACTGCACCTGGAAGCTCCACATCGTTATGTAAATTCAGCCCTCCTTCCAAAAGAGTCTTATCTAGCAGCACCTAGACTGTACCTATACATTAATATAAATCAGTTTTCTTTCCATGTATTAACTCAAAAATTCATAAGCACCTCTGTTCTCCTCATGCTTACCTCAAGTTTCTAAAAGTTTGGTCAAATTTGATTCAAAAGTTTTTGAAAATTTACCTCAAGCTAAATATAGGTATGAAGCACATGATGTCAAACACCCTTTATATCTCAAGTAAGCGTAGGAGAGTTCACCCTGCTCCTACCCCTCCACTTGCCTCGTATCTGTGATAGAAATAAGAACTTAACACGTCATATAATTTGACCATCTGTAAGGTACGAGAAAACCTGTTCAACACAATGAAGAAAGAAATACCACAGGCAGAAACTTAAGAACTATGAGGATAAAATACAGAGCAACATCTTCCCTGGAGAAATCATCTTGTATTTTCCTGTTTTCCTCCATTCTTTTGACTTTGGTGGACAATAACAACATTCTGCATCCGAATCACATACTCTTTCTACAAGTTTAATAGCTGTTTTTATCAGAAAAACAAACAGGAGAAAGGTGCATTTAAAATTACTGAAGAAGTTTCTTTCTAAAAATCCACCACACACCACACTTTCTGTGGCTGAAGCAATAGAACTTGCTGCGTTACTAAAGCAATTTTGGAGGTATATCCAGACAGTAGTTCTCAGGAACTAAATACAAAGTGCGAACAAACAAAAGGATTAAGACAAAATCTTGTGAATGATCCCATACACACCCTCTCGGTCAGCATTAACATTTTTCAAGACAATATCCCTTATAAACACCTGAATCTTGATTTTATAGACACTGTAACAGAGGAATACGCTAGCTCAGCACAGCTAGATTCTATCCAAAGTCTAAAATCACTTTTTAAATCACATCAAATATCTCTTGGCAGTAATAAACAACAAAGGTAGCGATAGGCAGAACTGGCGATAAACAACAAAGGTAGCGATAGGCAGAAGCCTTTGCCAATTACATTCTGAGTTCCTTTTCTCTCTCAATTCTTGCAAGAAAACCACAAAGAAAAACTTTCCTCGATGAACCAGGATGACAACTTGCGAATGCCTACAGAATTGGCAACATTCAGCAAAATTTCCAAACAATATTAAATTGGAATTACAACTAAAAGGCAATGGAAAACTCTCCTATTGTACCATGTATTACAATAAGATTAAAAGTTATCATATGTTAACATGGGACTTGAGGAAACCATCTGACAGTAACTCATCCATTGCAAATCAATCTTTGCATTTAATACACAGCACCTGGGTTAGGCCTGTCTAACATCTCCTCCTCCTTTCCCCGGACCATTAACTTCTTTGATATGGTAACATCACCAGGAATATTCATTTTTCTCTATTATATCACAAGAACAGAAATGAATAATCAACATCCCCACCTCACCCACAATCGTCCCACCAGATCAGGGTGGACACAATGCAGGGCAGACCTCACTCCTCGTTATAACTACATCTTCTTCAGGAAAACGCCTCCCTCCCCCAGTCTGCTTTATTATCCTGAGCTTTCTGTGGAACTACACACATGCTGAATGAGAATCTGAGCAAGACACACACTGAGTTACGAATGGAGCATATCAGAACCTAAGCTTCCAAACAGGATCAAACCCAAGTTCAAGACAGCAGTTTATATCTCAGTTTAAACCTCATCAAAAGCCCTGACATTTTGCCTCTTTATTTCTACGGATTTAAAAATTGTTTCAGAGTGTAGATAAGGTTTACTTCAAAGAAGAATTCACTTAAGTTTGTTTCTATACATCCTAAAGTCATTATTTTTTGACTGGAAAGTAAGGCAGAGTACTTTTGGAAAAGGCCAAACTTTCAAATTTCCTGGTTTTCATGAATGTTTCTTCATTTACAGAAAACTAGGATGGAAAGTACAGGAAGTGTCCAAAAAAGCTACGCAAGCAGAGATTCAATATTGATGAAGGTATAGTTGGAATTCTAGTGGCAATGTCGGTCAATGTCATTTCCATACTGAATATTCAGATTTAGAAATACTGAAAAAAAAAGAATAAGTAATGAAGGCTGCACGGAAGAGAATTAACCATGCCTCTGCTTTTAGACCTGCTAGACAGAGGCCAATGATGCTTGGACTTCTGCTTCTAAACTGACTGAAATGTAATATTGAAACCAGTAGCACAGCATTTTTACATAAAGAAACCACTCTCTTGATGAGTAAGGTCCATTGAAGATGAACACTCTGAACTCAATTGCTTTCTAGTGCATAATGGCTCATCATATCTATTTTTCAACAACTTCTGAGGTCTTCTGCAGACAAGAATTAAAAGGCAAGCTGTGCCTAGATAGGATATAATTGAAAGGCATAAAGTAACAATCTATGTGCATTGGGTGTACAACCCCATAATAAGAATTGAATAATTAAGACTTTTCCTTACTAGAGCTGTCCCAAATAGCCTACCAATAGGCTACAACCACAACCACCTACAAAGATATTTATATAGATATAAATATATATATATATATAAACGTTATATATATTTATATGTGTGTGTTATATATATGTTATATATGTAACAATATATTTTGTTCTTATATAAGAAGAACAACAAAACACCAATTGGCAAGAGACTTGTAACACTTGTAAAAAGCAAACAAAGGTGTTACTGTAGCCTTCAATTAGATTAATAAAAATACCAGAACGTCCGGTCATCTTTCCATCGTCTCGAGAGTACCAATAATAGTTTAATTATGAGGTCAAATTTTGTGTACTTCCCAGTCCACTTTATTCCAGGCATCTTGTATTTTTTAATTTATTAGCAAATTTCATATCTAGTCACTGCTTGGCAAAGCTGTATGTAAGAACTTTAAAAACTTTAGAAGTTGTTCCCTCCGGTCTCTCAGTAACCTCTTTCTACAAATTATTTCAAAATACATTGACATTTCTTGGTATCCAGATGCCTGGAATGACATATAATGTTTGAGATATGGTAGAATCAATTCTAGCAAGATGGGTAATACCTCTCCAATAACCAGTCTGAAGAGGCCTTGAAGGTCATCCTATGTAACAGTAGGTCTGAAAGCAAGAATACTTTTGCATCTCTCCTCTCCTCTATAAACGCCTAAGAAAGTCTTAGTCACTTGTAACTATACATCAGTGGGAGTCTTCTGATCTTTTTTCTTCAGAATAAAGTAGTACAGTACTTCAATTTTAACTAAAGAAGCTTTCTGAGGGAAATGTGCACAGTAACTTATTTCATTCTCCACAGAGTCAATTACACAGCTTCAATTTAGCCTGCACCACAATCAGGCAATACACTAGCTCCATGGTCTTGGGCTAGGCTTTGAAATCTCAGGAGCTCAATTTAATTTCTTCTCTGTAGATATTTTTGTTCTCAACTAAAAAGAAAGTGTTACACAACGACTAGCATACAGCTTAAAACACAGCTAAAAAATGCCATCTCAAGGTATTAAAATATCTTACGTCTCTTCATAAAAAAGCTGTTTTTCCGCTTTCTGCTTCTGATCATCTGAAAAGACAGATAGCGGGCTTTATCCTAATAACAAAATTTAATAACTTCTTTTAAAAGAAGAAATATGTCATTTTCAACTTGAAAGTTACTCTTAAATGATCAGCTCCTTTTAGCCTCTGCAGTTTTTGTCATGACAGACTAAATAGCACAAGAACACATTAGTTAATTATTTATTTTACATGATTGGCCCTATGTTCAGTATTAGTGGATTCTAATTACTAATTAATATTAGACAACAGCAATGAATTCGTAACCAGACCCTTGCTTGTAATTTTCATTAATATTAATTATTAATTGTATTAGTTGCCTTTCCTCACTGAGGTCCAAATAGACCTCTGGAGAATTGACCAATATCTATCATATTTCATGCTTGCTGGTAAAAAATGTCTCTGAAATCTTAATTCTCTGGTTTGGAATATCTCAGAAAAGTATTTGCACTCTCCAAAAAAATAGTTAAAAGATTGAGGGCCTTTGCTCTGAACTACTAAATGATACATATACATATAGTAATGAATTGGGGAACTAATGAGAAGAAAAGTATTTTTGAATTGATGCTGGGGCATGTGGAGAATTCAGTTCTACATTGCTGTTCAGAAACAGTATTTTGTTCATAAAATATTCAGATTTAACATTCCTGGAAGACCAAAAGACCAGTGGCGTGCGTGTGCACGCACACCATTATTCCACTTAACTTCAGAAAAGAACACTAAATAAAACTGCTCATAAAAAGAAGCTAGAAGGTACAGCTAAAAGGAAAAAATCTTTAATGACAGTATGGAGACATCTTAAGGACATCTGCTCTGATCCCATACTTCCTATTAAAAAGAAAGGAAAATTCACTTCTCCATTAGAAATAGCAAAATAAATCAAGTTGAACTTAACAATAGGATAATTTTAACTGTTAGAAGGAAGAATTGCCTCGAAGTAACACATAGACTCCAGCAGACGAAATTGTGAAGGCATGTAAGGCAAACTGAAAAATAGTTTGATGAGCTACTTGCAAAAAGTATAAAAACTACTCAGTAGAGCATTTCTTAAACACATTAGAAATAGAGCTAGATAAATAATTTGTGGTACCAACAGAGACCTTGAAGGAGAAGATAAAGCTACAGCAATAGAATGAAGTCAATACTTGTATTTGACTTCTTTGTGGCAGACTTGACAGATATCTCCACATCAGATTTTTCTTAATACAAGAGGTATTGCAGAAGTATTTAAATTCTACTAGCAGTTAAAGAGTATATAGTAAAAATAAAAAAGGAAAAAATAGTCCCTCCTTAAAAATGTGTTTGTTCTAAAAGGTTGGTATCAGTTTTTAAAATATAATCAATGAGAATTTGCACAAGCTACAATAAAACTTACTTGTATCACATGTACAAATGCCGAAACCACCTAAAGGGCAGAATTAGTGAATACACAAACATCTTAAATAGACTGGGGAAAAGTCAGAAAGCTTTTCAAAAGGGAAGTTATACCTCACAAATCACTGGAGCTTCCTGAAAGAATCAAAAGTCTGGTTTGAGGCTTTTGCATCCCTTAAACAAAGTTGCTCTGGGACAAATAAAACAACCATCATATGGATAAGTAATCCAATAAATGAAGTTCAATAAAAAACACTCCCTTCTTACACTGGGGAGAAGTCATCGGTGGAGTCCCCAGGAGATTTACAATTGGGACTCAGTTGTTCAATACACTCAAAAATAATCACTAACATGCATGAATAGATAAATAACCTAGTTTATAGGCAATACTAAGCTACTCAAGATAGGAAATACAATGATCAGCAGCAAAGGAATTTCCTAATACTGAATAAAAGGACAACTAAAAATATCCAAATTGAGAAGCATGAAGTTATACTCAGTGAAACAAGATAATTTCAGCCTTGTACGTATAGTGAGGGCTCGTGAATAGAATGTAATAAGAACTTGAGGTTATAATTTTTAGTTCTGTGAAAACAATACTTTGAAATTCCATACCACGTTTAAAAAACAAAAATATAACAGTATTTTTATAGAATTATTAGGAAAGGATTAGACCACAAAATCTACAGCATAATTAAGTCATTATAGAGGTCTCTGTTGCACCAATACCTCAAGCACTGTGATTCTCTCCATGTCCATAGGGATATAACAGAACTCAAAAACGTAGAAGTGAGGTAATTATCAAAGGTATAAAATAGCCTTACTCTGAAGAATTATTAAGAAGACAAAGAATTTTCAGTTGCAAAAAATGTGATGGCATATACAATATGATGGATTTATACAAAAGCATGGGTAAAAGAGAAAAAGCTATTAGAAAATAGTATAAAAATTAGGGAATGTCACAATTAGCAGCAAGTAGCTGTTTCCTTAAAGGTCTTATTTCCTCATACAACACTCTTCTTAGCCATAGGATGATAAAGATGCTAAAAATAGGCTGAAAGAGATGCGAGGGACCCATAGATTCATAATCTTTCCACAAAAAAAAAGATATCACCCTGGTTTAGAAAATCCCATTTGCAGGGTAGGCGAGTATTCTGAAGAAGCTTCTTAATATTCCTGCCTTTTTTTTTCTCTTATATTCCTCTAGGCATGCACTGTTAGCCACTATTTGAGACATGCTACCAGGCTAGAAGGACCCTCTGCTCTGTCTTGTCAAGAGTTTTCTTTGTTCCTCGCCACTGAAGATAGATTATGCAAATAAGAGAAAATTTCACTTCACACCGAGATGTAAATTCTGTATTTCCCTGTCAGAGCTAACAAGTTTGCCATCATCTGCAGAAGCCACAATTTTGCACTGCTTTGACTGAGTATCTTTTGGAGAAGGATTAACACTAGCCAAATATTAACTAATAAAATAAATGTTTTTTTCCTAAGCATCACTCTGTCTTTCAGCAGAAAATTTTCTTTTCTTTTCTTTTCATATAGGCCTTTGAAAGTGCTCCCAAACAAGTAGCTTAGCAGACTACATATTATCTGTAGAAGCAAGACTACCAGTAGTTTACGTCTATACAAACTTGGAGTAAAATGATACTACAGAACAACAGTTCGTGTTTTAATCCTGTTCAGGCTCTGTACTAAGACTAATGAAACAGAATTAAAAGTGCATTCCTTACTGTGAGGGCACTTGTGGAAGTTCATGGTCCGTCCCAGCCGCACCCACGGTCTCCACAGACGTGGTCCGGGGTCCCACCTCAGTCCAGCCCAGGGCTCAGGCCCTGCCTGGACTCAGGCCCTGCCTGGGCTGCGCTGCAGGAGCGCTGGGTCTCCACTCCTGTCTCCTGTACGGACCTCAGACCTGTGCTCGTCTCCTGGACGGACCTCCTTGTCTCCATCCCTGCCTCTGGCCTCTCTGCTTTTGCTCCTCTCTGGACTCCCTGGAAGGCTCCTGGGCCCGACTCATCCTTGTCAAGACAAGGCTGTGGACATTCAGACCCATGGGCCACCCTTGGCTCCTGGCTCGCTGTCCCTAAAGGAAGTCGTGGCTCTTGCTCCTGCCTGATGCTTACCAGAATAACTCCAATTACATAAAACCTTCTTTATTTGCAGGCTTAGCTTTGAGAGTTTATTGTCTGCTGAAAAGTTATTTACAACCTTCCCTCAAAAATCATGCAATAGATCTTCTAGGTACTGAAGAGAACACTAAAGTGCTTAGAGACCAGAAGTTAAGTTATCCTCAAAGACCTATGTTCATGATGACTCATTTTAAGATTATTAACAGTGCACACGAAGAAATTAAATAGGATGCTGAAGAATCCAAACCTGATATAAAGCAAGAGTGTGTCCATATCTCTGGAGTGGCCCTTTGGAAACAGGCACTACATTCCAAATACTGCTTTCCAAATTGTAGCTAAAAGAGAAATAGAAAAGTAAATGTTTTCTACCTGCCCAGAAACTGGGGTTGTTGCATGCTTGAACTACTCGGTTTTGCAAGGAGTGCACATTCGAGGAGTTACCGTGTTGTGTCTGACACACGGCAGTTTGTCAGCAGCAGTAATAGTGATTTCAGTCATAACAGTGTCTAAATGGGCATCCAAGAAAGCAGGGGGAGCTCTTTGAGAGACCCATCAACAAGTTCAGAAAATGGGATTGTAATAAAAATCACAAAGTTTACAAGAAAGTTATGAAATCAAATTGAGCTCACTATTATCAGTGAAGCATACACAGAAAGAAAAAAAAAATTAAATTGCTTTTACTACAGTCCTATGCACTAACTTAAAAAAAAATAAAAAAGCCATTGAGAACTTTCTCAGCTGTGTGACTTTAGCCTCCATTAACTTCAAGTTAGATGAAAGGCAACAATAAGATGACAAAGGCAGAAACAGAAAAAAAAAAGACAGGAACACTGTTGTACTGCTGCGAGGTTACGGAAGAAAGCAAGATGTGACAGGGCTTATACATATACACAAAATATCATCCAAATCAGTCAGGTGATATTTACAGCTGCTTCCACTTCATGTTTTTAATTAGCTGATCAAATAAATACATATATACAACCTGTCTAAATCATAAGTCACTATAACCTCAGTGGAGCATGGATGAACTACCCACACCTTCCTGCAGGACAACCACAGGCTAAGTGCAAGCATTAAAAATGAGTCTCCTGTAATTATAAATTCACTTCAATACTACCAATAGCAATCTAGATATATTTTTTGGAAATATCAGCACACTCAACTATTCCACTGTTTTTTTTTTTTTCTGTATTTTGCAGCAAATAGAAAAGTTTTTACAAAAAAAAGTATGAGGTTACATATTAGTACATCTACATCAATATTACTCATATGTTACCTTTCTTCTATTATAAGAAAATTATGACCAGAAAATAAGAAAGTTAATGAAGAATCTATAACAAAATACAAAAATATAAGCGTTTCCATTAAGTTGCAGAATAGATGCTATCTCCCTATTAATTTTCGCTGAGCAGTATCAGAAAGGAAATCACAAAGGAGAGATCACTTACTTCAGCACCATTTGGAAGGAACTGTAGTTAAACGCGTATCCACCAATGACCCACATAAATTTTCCATGGAGAACTGCTTTATGGGAAGCCCGGCCCACGGATGGGCTGAACGGCTTTACGTTTGGTAGGATCCAGTAAGACTCCGTGGAGGGGACATTCAAAGAACAATCCGGACCTGTTTTACAAACAAATGTGCAATTTGTACAATCTGTTACACAAAGATGTTAAAGCCAATAAAAGAGAAATAAGGAAGGCTTAATTACAGATGTCAGGATTGCTCATTTTGATAAAATACAGTAGAGACTTTTATGTTTAACAGATGTTCAATGAAAAAAAAAAATCTGACAAGGGATGTCAGTGAAATTGGAAATGTTAGATTAGCTCAAATAATAATGATACATTTCTGCATTCTTCCCAGAAAACACTGCATGAGTCACAAATTGAAAGAAGGCATCATGTTTTCTGATGCTGCATGGTTCTAAAAATGTATAGCAAAATGTGCACTGCTTGTTACCTCTGGAGGAATTATACCACATTTGAACTAACCAGAGCAAGTTTATATCAAAGTGCACGGTATTACAGTCATTTACATCACAATATAGAATACAGTATATTAAATCTTAGGACTCAAAATTTGGCTATTGCCAATATCATATTGCAGCAGCTTTCAAGAGGAAAACACAGGGTAAACTGCTTTACAAAAAGAAGGATTTTGAATATTAAAACTTTATAAAATGTATAGAACATTTTACAGGCTACTAAACCCAGCAACTATACATTATTTTAGAACATATTTTTAACCAATTCTTGCCAAATACACAAAAGTCCACAAAATGTGTCCTTTCCCTATTTTATGAAAATCACAAGAAAAAGAAACATTTATTTTCTCATTTGTGTACTAACAAGAATGTGATCTCTTCGTTACTAGTTTATGTTGTGTATGTTAAAAAGAACTTGACAATTGTAAATATGCTTAAAACTTTGCTGAAAATGACAGCATCCTGACTTCTTGCCTCGTGTCAGTGACTACTGCAGTGTAGGAGGGCACTAATGTGTTCCAGCTTTGGCATTCATCATTGTGGTACTGAAACCCTTATCATCGGTGATGGGAGATAGATGTCGTATGATAGCTAAATTATTGCATGGTTATACTGTAAGCAATATACATTCCTCTCAGCCTGCCTAGCTTTAATAAACCCTTGACTCAAACTACCTGACATGCTGAAAGCCCAAGTTGTTGAAGTCAGCCTGGCAACTAAGCATTCTTGGAGAACAGAACGGCAGTGCGCACACACACAAGATTAGTTTCCATACAATGGCCAACAATTTAAGGATGTAATTTTAATCAGCAGCATATAGAATTAGGGGGAAATTGTAGGAATTCTCCATTTCTTAAGGAAAAATTACTGCCTTAACACCCAGTTCTATTTTCTTTCATAACACTGGCACAACAGTGGAATGCCACTAGGGTAAGAAGAGCCAGCAAACTCACTAGGGTTATGCTCAACATAAAAAGCTGCTGCTTGAAAATGAGGATGAAAATAATTACAAGGGAAAAATAAAGCTAAAAGGGGCAACCGAGAGAAGAAGACTCTGACTGGCAGCAGGCAGGTTACTGAAGACAGTATCAGGGAAATAGAGTGCTCGTGTATAACATCAGTTAAGAAATAACTGAACAAAGATAAAAGGAAGCTGGAATGGCTAACATCAGTGTAAAGTAAAAAAAAAATGTATACAATAATCAAGTGAAGAACAGGAATCAAACACAAAAATCAAACAGATGAAACATAAAACTACAATCAGGCAAGCAATTTTTATTATTTTGAGAAGCAACTAACTACAACAATGTCCCTGCATAAGCAGGGCAGTTGGACTACATGATCTCTAGAGGTCCCTTCCAATCTCAACCATTCTGGGATTTTTGCAGGAACTAGAGTATGGCACATGCAACGTCAACTTGAAAACATTCCAGGAAGAATCTGCAAAACTATACGCCTAGGAAGCAAATCAGCAGAAACTACATAAACTACATAAAAAGAATTAGTCAATAGAGAAATAACTGCAATCTACTTGTAAAAGTCAGTATGGCTTTTTTTGAGAAGGCCCCTCCTCCAAACTGCCAGAGCTCTTTAAAGACATCAAGATGGAAAAGAGTGATCCAGTTCATAAAGCTGGTGAGGATTTGCATAAGACTTTCAGCCAAATTTCTCACTAAAGATTCTTAGGAAATTTTGTCTGCTGTGGCAAGAGAATAAAAATCTTTGCATGGATAAATAATTGCCTTCCAGAAGTCAGGAGTAAATGACCACTTCTGAAAGGGAAGAACATCAACAGTAGAGTCCCACAGGGATCTTTACTGGGATCTATGCACTTCAACATATGCATTATCTCAAAAGAGGGGGAGTCATTAAGATAGTTTGCCCATGATGTCAATTTATTGGTAGAAAGAGTAAACTGAAAAATGTTGTGTAATCACAAGACAAGGCAATAGAAAAGCAGATGAAATGCAATATAGATAAATTTAAAACTATCCCTTTGCTGGACTTCTAGAAGCAGAAAACGATAGCAGTTGTAGCAGTAGATAGCAGCATTAGAGAAGAGGAACTAAAATGTTCAAATGAATGGAATAGTTTTCTGTATTTGAAACAATTGAGTAGGCTGGTACTCTTCAGCCATGGGGGAAAAAATAAACACAAAACAAAGGAGAGGAGAGAGGGGAGAGGAAGTAATTTGGAAGCAAATGGTAAAGGTCTATAAAGTACCAAGAAGGTGGTAGATAGGAAAGAGACTGAACACTCCTTGAGTAAGGAGCTGACATGCATTAAAATGCAACTTGAAGAAGCCACGTGCAAAACCAAAAAAAAAGAAAAAAACAGAGCCAGTTGTTCATGCAATAAGTAGCAGAGCTCCTTGGCAAGGAGCTCTTTAACAAAGGATGTTCAGGATGCCAAAGTTTACCCCGGGTCAAGGACAGCAAACATGTAGAAGAGCGATTGCTGAGGTTTACTAAATAGACAAAAATCAGTCAGGCTAAGGCCACCTCATTAGCTGAAAGCAGCTACGGGCAGCAGCCTACACAGTACTTGGTCGATGCCACAAAATAACTTGCTCAATCAAATCCTTCAAGGATTCCTAGCACTAGATACAGACGGACACTTCTCTGACTTCTTCATCTGTAGGGACTCTCTTTATCTGCTTTGATACAGGGACCATTTTTATACGACTGAAATTCAAGACTGCTTCTCAGGAGCAATCTTCCTACAAACTTTGTTAGCAATACCCTAACGCTGGATTTCATGATCGTAAATCTGAGCAGTAAGACATATCTGGGATTAGATCCAACCTAAGAATAGCCTTTTTTTTTGCAGGGGGTGTGAGTGGGGGGCTAGTTCCCTGATACCCTTAAACACAGCAACTAAATGTACAGGAGCAATCAGTAGGTAGGGGTGAAGAGAGAGATGGGCTTTTCTGGCAGCTGCTCACAGCTTTGGCAGCTAAAGGATCCATGAGCTCATAACTGAACAAACCACATACTATAGTAGTCAGATTTATTTTTAAGTATATTCACCACTTAGTTCCAATAAAAATAAAATTACCTGCATATACATATGAAAAATTCAAAGTAAAAGTCAGGTTTAATCTTGACAGAAATTGTGAGCACTGCTGCTTTTCCAAAGTATAAAAATCAGACTTTCACAGATTTTAACTTGTTACAGTGAGTCCTTGTATACAATAAGGAAACAGATCATTCGTACAACTTCTCCTAATACTTTACAGGAGGATGATGTCCATTTGCAGCCAAATTATTTTTAAAATATTCTTTTTTAAAAGATTCTTTAAATGCTGGAGACTCTCAATTACCATCTTTCATTATCTATTTCTGCCCAGAAAAATTTCTGATATTTGAACGACATCTAATGAAAGCATGAACAATGAAAGCATGAACAACGCAGGATATTATTCTTTAAGCATTAAAATAGAAACAATAATAGAATTGTAACCTCAACAAGATTTTGATCTGGCAAATCACTGCAGGGAATACTTAAATTAAACTTTAAAGTGCTTAAAATAAACATAAGATTAAGTACCCTTTGATTAATGAAGAACTTACAAATAGAAACTACAGCTTAGTTAAATGGGTGCCTGCAGTCAGAAAATGAAAACTTGTCTATATCTTTAGAGAGAAATGGAGCGGTGGGCGCTTGTGGCAAGAGGGGGGGTGGGAAAAAAAAAAAAAAAAAAAAAAAAAAAAAAAAAAACACACACACGCAGCTCACCCCACACTACTCACCAACCACTTGGAGATTTTCATTTTTGGAGCCACAGCATTCCCAAAATTCAAAGAGAAAATTAAAAAATATTATGCCTATGTGCACTATGATATGATTAAACTGGATGCATTAAAGTGAGCACAAGCGCAAAGCTAACAAACATGTTAACCATTACTGTTAATCTGATAGGTGACTAAAAAACAAAAACGTTGCACACAGTGGTGTTAGGGCCTGGGCCCGGAGCGCAGGCCCACACGGAACACAAGCGAGAGGCAGGAGCAGCCCTGTGCACCCAGCTCGGCCGCTGCCCCCAGGGCAGGACAAGGCCTGAGGACACCCACCTGAACCCAGCAGCCTGAAAGCACCAAGTAGGAAGGTGTTTCCTTGAAGGACACGTAATACCTGAGCACTGTGCACACGTGCACTCCATTGCCATAAGAACAAATGAGAAAGAGATACTAAAGGAGGCACCTCTGGCCTGCCTCTACCGCCCATACTTACAGTGGTCATCAGTGCCACCACCAGCTTTCACGCGGCCACACGGTGAACCAGAGGAGGGAATGAAACCAGGCTGAAAACAGCTTTTATTTTTGGCCAGGCCAGCTTTTTGGTCTGAATGTGTTCCTCACCGGTTCCATCATGCAGGCACACAGATGGTTGTATATCAGTGCGTGAGGAAGAGGGGCCAGAATTGCCTCTTCAGCAAAGCTGTAACGTGGTCACGGAACTATCATGACGTCTATGAGTCCGTGCAAACAACTGAACAAAATAAAGCTACAGAATAACACGAACTTCTACTGAAGTATCACTTAAAGAGCAGCTGCTCTAGTGAAAAGGGAACCATAGGACTTAATCTACAGGTTTTCCTAATTAAATACATATACTATTAAACATCATCGTTTCT